TACAGTTCATTGGATGTGGAATGAATAAAGAGGACAATATGAACTCAGAATGCAAACTCTCAGGGATCTTCACCTATTTAAACTATGGGATAGAAATTCAAAATCAATTAAAGCATTAAAAACAGCTTTTAAAAATTGTTTTGTTAAATAAAATGGCTAGATATAAGAAATCCATTTATTATAAATGGTTCCAAAACATCTTCTGCATTTAAAATGAATGGATTTATTCAACAACCACAAAAGTTGTGCTTAGAAAATTCAACTGATTTCTGAAGAGCATAGTGATCAAAAACACATCAGAACTAGCAAATCTCATCCTCTCAGCTGTTTTTATTCATAAACTGGAAAAGGAGAACACACTTTTCTGCTTTTTCAACCCTCATTGGTTTCTTAACTTTGAACTATTAACTAGATGAACCCACAAAAAAGAAAACTAAAAAGAAAATTCTCTCACCTACAGAAAAGACTACTGCTGTCAAAAGCTGGATTAGCACCTCATCAAACTGTAGGTCCAAGTGCTTACCATGAGCTCAGTGATCTGACTTTCTTTAAAATATGGCATCCAACATGTACTGCTTAATATTTTTTATAATTATTTTAATAGATATTAAGTTTAGGCCAGAATATTAGCTGTCAATTTAAATGGGTTGTTAACAAAATTAAAAAAGGGGAAAGGGGAAAAAAATTTTATTGTTTAAAAAAGTTAAATACTATCCACTTTGATTTCCTGTCAAGTCAATGGGATGTAGGAATGCTAAGCACCTGTAAGAATTTGGCCAATATGCGTGCAGTGGAAATGTAAGACAAATAAACTCCAAAAAGTTGTCTTAAGTGTAAAAGCTTTGGCACACTTTCAAAACAAAGTCACACATGATACACAATTCTATGTATTGCCATTCAAGTGCTACCAGTCAGCTCCAGTAGTTTGTTAGTAGGCAGGGCAGTAGGGATGAAATCTTATAATCTTGTTCTCAGAACTTTATCAGATTTAAACTTTCTCAGATAAGTTTTAGCTTTCACCAGCCTGAACACATATACTCACTTCTACAGCAATGAGTCCAAATAAAATGTTAAACAATTATTTGTTCCTATGTCAATCCATATAATATATTGTACCATTGCTCAATATCCTATGCCATGATAAGCATCAACTCAAACATTTCAGGGGCTATGCTAAACCTAAATATCTTTTAGAGTGTCTAATCTCCATACTTCCACTTTATGATCAGAATTCAGAAACCAGTTTTGCAGAGTACAGAGGTCATCAGATTACAAGTTTTTCCAAAATAAAACCAAAAATTTCAAGAACTTTAAAGATAAACTTTAAGAATGTTGTTGTTACACAAAGTACATGCTGTTCAGGTTCTCATATTGCATCATTCATGATGGTATTGTTAGTTATTGTTTAAAATGATCCTTAGAAGTTTACAAAGCAGTGAACCAACGCAGGAGTCTGGGCATTGCACACAATACAGAAAGACATCAAAACCCCTGTTGTAAATAGTTTATGAAATGAAGAGCCAGATGATGCAAAATACACACCCACCTTAAAGCCAAACTTTAACACTGTGGAGGTTAGGAATAATCAAAGAGCTACTTGACTACTTGCTAGCCTTCATGAAAAAATTCCTAATTCCAAATATTGGATACAAGTCCTTCCAAGATTGAAGCTGATTAATAAATTCTAGAGTTTCCCACATACAACTGATATATGTAATTAGAGCCCTATAGAGATAAAAAAAATTCTATCCACATTCAATCTGCAATCCACAAACATGGTCCATTGATGTCCATAACTACAGATACAAGTCAGATATCCTCAAATATGCAGAGCTCTATACATAACAGGTCCCACCTCAGCCAAAACAATACCTTCCTTCTATAAGTTAGGAAACAGGCATGAACTCTCCTCATTGATTACAAGGAAGTTTTTTATAATTTCCAACTATCGCTAAAAGCAATTACATAACTGAAGAGTGTAAGCCGCTAGGGATGTTAGCATAGTCACTTAAACCAGGGGTAGGAAATTTCAGGCTCGGGGGCCGCATCTGGCCTCCGACTTGCCTGAATCTGGCTCCCAAGGCTTAGGGATCCCCACTGCACTGGGGAGCCCATGCTGGCACTCCAGCTAGGGATGTTAAATTTAGATTAATCAGCTAATTGAATAGTTGATGCAATTTGCATAACTATTCGATTAGTCAATAAGGGCACCTCCGTCTCTGAAGTGTAGCAACAGTCCTGGGTTCCTTGGAAATGCTGCCCAGAGCCTGGGGTCAGCTGGGGAGTCTTGAGCTGACCCCGGCTCCACGTGGCATTTCAAAGCAGTAGCGCCACATGGAGCCCGGGGTCAGCAGGGCAGGCACTGCCGCTTCGAAATGCACAAGAGCCCTCACTGGGGACTCTTGTACATTTCAAAGCTGGCACACCGCGTGCAGTCTGGGGCCAGCAAAAAGTCCCACTGACTCTGGGCTCCACGTGGATGCCTGTCGACCAGTCGATGGAAATTCCATCGACTACTCAACTAGTAAATTAACTGGTATTTAACATCCTTACTAGCGTGTCAACTATCCAATAAGCATTTGCTTATCAATAGTCGACTAGTCTTTCACAACCCTATTATAAAGTAAACAATTAGCTACTAATATCCCTACTTCAGCTATTAACCCAGAAATTAACATCCACGTGCATAAATCCATTTTTACCTAAAATAATGAATTAAATAAGGTTAATAAAAGAAACCATCAACTAGCAGGGTGAAGAGGTTTCCAGAATGCCCAAGCAAAGTGCCTCTAGCTTTGCTAGATCCCCCAACAGCACTTCAAACATCTAACAGTAAATAGCAAAAGAAACACTTAACTAGTTTTACCATCAGGCAGATTAATCATCATACCAGGAGATTCTGAAGTACCCTGTTCCTTAGTGATACTCTCCAGATTTTCACTCCATTGAGAGAGTCTCTATTCAAATAAGCTTGTAGTGGAATGCAGAAACATTGACTTACAGTGCAATACATGCTATTATTCTGGCACCTCAAAATTAGAGGATTTTGTACCTTGTCAAAAGTAGTGCAATAAACAATTCTTTCTCTAAGGGGAAAAACAACAAGTACATTCATTCTATTGACGTAAACAATGTAAGAAAACACTTCTCAAACACCTCAAAACATCAAGTACATCAATCCAGCTCCTCACTATGAGCCAACTCCCATTACACTCATGCTTTACTCAGTGTCTCACATAGCAAAATTTGGTCATAATCACTTTTAAAAAATAGATTTCACATTTTCAGTTACTATCAATTCCACTGTATATCTCTGCATCTTAGAAGCATAAGTGTGTTCTTTCCATAATATACACTACGATTTATTGGCACCCACTGCACAGATTAACTTAAATGAGATTTTGCATAGTTCACTCATCAGAGGGCTAACCAGAAATTAACTTACAGTAGGACTTAGATTTTTTCCGGTACACTGAAAAAAAAGGGGATACATTTCTTTAAACATCCTGTTAGGGGCAAATAAGTCAGTCACTTTTGCTTGAATGATGATAAAACTACATTATAGAATGATTATATTATGGATTCCAGTTAGGATCCTAGGGCAATTTTTATTAGAAGTGAAAGCATTCCTATAGAGTTCACAGAATGAAACCACTCTAGATGTAAGGGGAAATGCCAATAAATTAAATAAAATTTGAACTGTTTCAGAAAAGAAAAAAGCATCATTGGATGACTTTTATATTGTGGAGTAAAACTACTAAAAATTATAAAAGAAACAAGACACTTTACCAGATTTACAATACTAGATACTCGACTGTTCTCGTATACTTAGATATGTTATTAAAGAAAACTAGACTGAAATGTTTTGTTAGGTAAAAACTAAAAGTAGTGTTTTAGTTAGCAACACTGGCATCTTCTGTCCAGTGTAAAATAGACCTCACATGGATTTGTCAAAAGCTGTATGTGATTAATCAGTATATTTAATATGGAATTTTTCAAACCAGTTTAAAGAGTAATATAAACTGCTTATATCGAAGGCCAAAGGGTGGTTGATTCCCCAATCTAGCAGTTTTACTTAACTGAAAATAAGACTAAAATGCACAAACGGTTATTGAGTGCTACAATTTGTTGCTCACTGTTACCAACTTTGAGTTTGACATTTCTAAATGCTGGTTTTTGAAGTGACAATATTAACAGAAATTGAATGAGACTACAGTAGTTTGAGTGACAAATTGCTACAAACATTTAACAGCTCCTTCTTAGCAAGTTACATCAAACACAGGCAAGGTCTGTTGTTTTAAAAGCCTCCTAAAAAAAAGTACAACTTTGGCCTGAAAAAAACCCAGCTTGGGCTTCTGTAAATATTACTGACATGATTTCTCAAGGTGCATCATTTGTGAAATCCTCCAGGTCATTTTATGATAAAGGGTCATACCTTGAAGTGCATACCACTTCTGGACTACGGTAACACGGGCGTGTTATGAGGGAAAACTCACTTTAGTTTTCAGGACAGATCCTTTTAAGATGTGTGAGCACAAAACCCTTAAAGTACCTGATACAAAAGTTAAGATACGGGATGGGTTGTGACTAGGCATCAGCCACAAGGGAGCCTGGCTTCTGTCTGCGTAGCCTGACTCATGCAAGCACAGATGCAACGGGGAGAACACGACACGGCGAGCTCCGCTGCAGAGCGAGCGCTGTGCCCTGCACACCGAATAGGCCTGATCAATATTTCATCTGCGCAGCGTGTGCTCTGCCCCAGCCGCACGTCCGTGCCTCCTCGTGCAAGACACGGACCAGCCCGGCACGGAGGGGAAGGGAGGGGAGCGCCCTGCTAGCCCCAGGGCAGGATCGATGCACGCGGGGCAATCCCCGCCCCAGCATTAGCGCACAGCAGACCAGTGCAGCCAGCCCGCAACACGCCCGCAGCATCCCCGCCGAGCCACGCACGCTCCCTAGCGACTCCCGGCACCGAGGGGCCCGCCTCCCCCGGCCAGTACCTGTCCTCGGAGACGCTGATGACCCCGTCCTCCTTGGGCACGATCGCGGCCATGCTCACCACATCCTGGGAGCCCTCCACCTTGCTGAGCAGCAGGGGCTTGGG